ACTCTCATCCAAATAATCTGAGATGAAGAAAATAAACAGATCAAATTACCTGTTTGTTCAGGCCAAAATTAGGATGTACCTTATTATTTACGTAAGAGTACAGCAAAAAAGAACAGAAAACAGTAAGTGAGAAAACCTCTCTGGGGTGACTAAACAGGCGATGAATAAATTTCAGCGACTAGATGAAAGTCTCGGTATAATTTTTACTTACCAGTAAATCGTCTCATAATGTTTTGTATCCTAAAAAGATAGCTTACCATAGAACAGGGGAATGTTGAAATATGATCAAGTAACAGTGCACTCTTCAAACGCATGCCAGAAGTTGATTTTATAGCCTGTTATTGTATATCAGTAAATATTTTATTAGGCGTGATCGAGAATTATTAGAAGTTATTTAGCGAGAATTATCAAATGGAAAATGTTTACCGACAAACTTTTATATTCAATTAGGACGTTTAGGGTTTATTGATTCCAAGTTGGTATTCTTCACTGACTAACACCAGTTTAGAGAAACACTGAAGACCTGAAAGCACTATTTCGTCCTAGCATGGGACTCCTCAGGAGTGCACATCCATGATCTCACCACCCCAGGTTTCCAACAGTTCTCCAAATTGATATCAGTCCGCGACGAATACTAACTCAAAATGCGCTATGCGTTTGAGACAGAAATTCTCCCGGGTGCTTTTTGCACCCTACATGCCAAGCATTTTTTTCTACATCTCTCCAATTTGAAACACTTGGGAGCAGTAGAAGAAAAATCAAGATGCCAAATTTATTACCGCTATTCAGGTTTCAAACACGGACTACTTATAAGTAGGCATTAGTGTTCAAATAGAACGTCTTCCGTAATCAGCATCATCGTGTTAGAATAAAAACCGGTTAAATCACAAAGAAAATTAAAGCAGTTTCTCACTGCTAAACGGACATCACTTTCATATCAACGACTCTTCACACATCCTTAAAGCAGAAATTGTATCAAAGATCACATTTTTATTACGAAAATGAGATACCTTGTTTCGAACAAACCTAAAATATTAAACTAGTAAAGCATGAATCAGTTGTAAGAATCAGTCTTCACCGATCTTAGTTTTGAATCTGTTGATGAAATTGGGAATTAAACTGCCCTTTTACTTCCTTGTACAACAGCTTTATCCAAATGCTATGATGCCAGATTATAACCTCAGTAAATAAGAAAATTTGACAAATCTCAGAAAGAACTAAGTTATTAGTCTTGTTCGATACACATTATTACACTTCCTATTTTGTAGGGTATTTCCCTAGGAATGATAGATATAGCCTCAAATAACTCATAACTCACTCGAACACGGTAACTAGTAGCCATGATAAATTCCACAATACACAATAAATTTGTTTTTACGTCAACTCTACGAAAGTTATATATATATATATATATATATATATATATATATATATATATATATATATATATGTATACATATATATATATACATATATATATATACATATATATACATATATATAAATGTAAGGGTTTCTACAAAATAAATCTGAGTTGTTGTTCTTATACAACAGCTCATTTCGAGTTCCAAAGATAAACCTCAAAAATGTAACAATGATTATTCTTCTTAAGCCATACACTCTGTGCATTTAATTATGAAGTGAACATGTTATTTGACTGATAAAACTTTATCCTAAATTTTGATTCTAACACTCCTGTGGACCGACGATACTTATTATTAAGTATTTCTTGAAACTATGGAGTAGTGTAGAACTGATTAACTTCATCTGAGTTATATACAAATGCTTATCTTATCCCATTTGAAGCAGAATATCAAAAACAGCACAACGTGATCACTTCAAGAACATTTTTTATCCTCTATATTCTTATATTTTTTAAAATCATATGATTAAAGGAAATAACCAAGTCTGTGTGAATGGTATTTAATGACATTGAACCTTGACTAACTTTCATGCAGCGAATTTAGTCATATATTTAACGACGTAACTTTAGAACTGTATGCTTACTAATGACCTGACGTCCACACATGTTACTGCCATGATCTTTAAGTGGTTAAAGGAATTACTAGTTTTCTTGATGTCATAATTTTATCAAAACAACGAAAAACAAATTTCACAATTTTCCACAGTTGAAATGGAGTAACTGAGACATACTTGAGATCATTTGCCCAATGAAATTGACGTATTTATGTGCTGTAAGCTTCTCGACATTATTTATATATGACTTTAATGAGCTCAAATGTATACGTACGAAAATTTATCAGCCAAAGTAATAAATCTCCAAAAGCCTAATGTTATCTCTAATACCTACGCTGGGGAAATTGAAGCCAGGGCCTAAAGCTTGTATTCTTCGTAAAGCAGAATACATACAGCCATAGAAATTAAACAGAAACTAGACAATTTTCTCATCACGTTCAAATAAAGAATAAGTTTTAAATGGAAAAAATGTAAATTATGTCATACTTTAACTAGTGGAAAAAAGTGAACAGTTGAGCCGGAATTTAAAGCTGACGTCAACAAATCTATGCAAAATCACCTTGATTAATTATATTTCTGCACTCATAAACGCACCTTTTGAAGAATGTGATGTCATACGAAATACGAGTCACTGTATTCGAAACTCCGTTATTCATTGTTTAAAGACTGAAAGTTTTTGCCACTTTTTTCAAGCTAATATCAAATTACATCTCAAAGTAGTAAGTGGTTGAATGAATAAGAAATATTACCCTATAAAGACAAAAAGGCACAAACTTGTCAAAGTATATTCTCTGATTCTTTCCAGTATAAATATGTAGTTGGTATCCTCATGACAGATACTTGAACAAATGAGTAAAAATTTTAGTTCATTTCTATCCCTCTATGATCTTCACCAATAGATGTTTTAATAATGATTACTGTCAGAAAGTAATGTTAATGGATTTATATCAGTGGGCTTTTCTTAAAACTTAATCTTTTTCAAATCATAATAATTAAACGATAAAGTGACGACGGTAGGAAAAGGCACCTAGTGTACATTTCAAAATACATTTTGTCTAGTAAATAAAAAGGAGATTAATAATTGTTCATAGAATGATATTTAGCTGTTATTATTGAGTTTTCTTCATAAAATGACTTAGTACCTCTTCATTTTGAGTCATAATTATATGATAACTTAGCTTTTAGCTTATACTTTTACTAACCGAGTCCTTAAATAGCTATGGTTATATATTTGTTTACCTTGGACAAGACAGACAAACCGAAAGATTACCACATTGATGGTGATTTGGTGCTTTCTGAGCTTTGATATTTTGTCGTGAACGTTTTATCACGTTCATGACAGAATATCAAGCTCAAAGGACACCAAACCACCACCATCCTCATCCTGAGCTACAAATCTACTTCACCATTTTGATTATCACCTTAATATTAACTAGCCCAGTAATTTTACAGTAATTAAATATATCAGTTAAACTTTGTGCCAAGCAAGGCAAAAAGTTTGGGTTAGCAAACTGTACGGAAGCTTTTTTACTAGTAAGCTTATCAGTAACATCTCTAAAGTAATGTGACCAGGGGAATAACAAATGATTGAAGCATAAGTTTGGTGATACTAACTACATTTTTTGGATAGTTCGTGGAGTTACTTTATAGTATTTTAATGTGCTAGGTAACGAGATGGAGAAAAGTACTGAAATACCATCATTTTATATGAAAAATTGAATGAATGGTTGACAGATGGAGTGGATTAATGTTAGCAATCAAACTCGTTCATTGTCATCATGCTGAATAGATATACTGTAAGGAAAACAATAATGGTAACTTCTTCGTCAAACGGTCATTTGACAATTTTTAAGAAGCAAGGTTACGAAAATATCATTTGGTATAAAATATTACGCTATCAGGATAGCCTACTAACACAGATATGAACAGTTTCCCGAGATCATTCTTATCAACTATCAGATGAACTCATCTTGCTATGGCGCTTAATTGGTCATCTTACTCGTCCACGTTTCTATATCAGTAAATAACCTTTTTCTTACATTCTTTAGAGACTTTGTTATAAAGTGGAATACTATTAAACACGCTACTCTCATGCGTACATGTGTCAGTGTACCTTCGGATAAACTGTAACATCCTGTACCATTAGTCCTTTACTAACCTCGGTAATTCATATTTTGGACAGAACACGCAACTAGACCCTTCTTAAGTTTAGATTTAAGATAGAGATCACAGGAGTTTAGTACACGCATTTATGATTGAGCTAAACTGGCAATTCATCAAGCTGTCAGAAATTATGCAAAGTTTTGTGACACGACTTAGAACTCTTTCATTTCAATATAAGTTTTGATATTACATTATTACAGTAAGCTGTTCACACTTGAACGCGTCACCAGTTCGCATTCCTAACTTCTACCCTCCATTCAACCAGAAAATGTTCAGATACAAATAATATAATCTCACTATTGAATTCAGTAACAGCTTCAGACTATGATGGACATTTTCACCCATTAGAAACCAACGATGTGCTATCCTCTATGAAGGGAAAAGTTAACTGAAATAACCCAATAGTTTGATAAGACCAGTAAGTAATTGTCTGAAACATCGGATCCAGTGCTTGTAGGATTTACATATTATTACATACAGGACATTTAACCTGGACCATTCAACTATTAATTTCACTTGGCGGCCAGTGTCTTAGCACTTTTTACTCTACGAACTCAATGCATTCTCGATGGAAACCGAAATACAAATACTACTTTGAGTGATAAAGTTGTATTTGAAATTAATCACTGCTATATAGGTGCATTTTGCACTGCAGTGCAAGATAACTCACACGAATAATTAGTGATGTTCTATGAAGCTACGATACAGCGATAAAACCATCAGCTTTCAATATTAGACTCACTGATTTGAACCCCACATTATTCTCTCAAGTTGAGTATGCCTAACAGTTGTACGAACAAGATTTTCGTTAAACAAATTCCTGCCGCCCATACAAGCTACATATGTCAGAACATTTAAAACAGGGAAAATAATAATATATTTTTATTAGATTAGCTTTATGCATTTAAACTATAGACTTTGTTAGGTTCTTACATGCTTCCATATAAAGAAAAAGGAAAAGTACAATAAGTGAAAATAAAAACTGAAAACATTCAATGTTCAGTTCCCTCAGATTTCTCGCCATCTTTATGTTAATGTTTTCAGTCATCATAACCAGGATAACCTCGAAAATAACTATCATCAACGTAATACGGTTCACGAATATATTTATACCACGGATATGAATCACGATTCATAGTATTCATTGAACGCTTACCCAAACGTGCATCCCATAAATAATTACGCTTCATCACATGACCTCTGAATGCTGGAGACAATTTGGAAGATGTATCCTTATAAGATACAAAATTATCATCGGTGGCATTGATCTTATGAATATATGTGAAGATTAGGAAACACATCAACGCTAACATGTATTGATGGAGCATGTCTTCTCGCACAACTTCAATGGAATCACAAATTTATGTAACTTTTGAAATTGGTTAAGTATACTATTCTGCTTGTAGACAGAATCTGAAGTGAAAGTGGCTATAAATCAGAATCTGAGAACACTGAGATCCGTGGAGACGATTCACGTTAAATATTAAAAATTTTACGAATATCCAATCAAATTGAACGATGTCACACCATCGAAAGGAGAATAATTTTGCCTACTATTGGTTCTCATGCAATGAACCAATAGAAATTCAGCTATTACAACAAACTTCTCAAGATTTTAACCTTGGAATCAAATTCCCAATGAAACTGAGAGATACTTATATTCTCTACTATTGACACTTGATCACCCCTTATATTCAACATTTTCACTCATTTCATTTCCTTACTCCCTCTCATTTCATGAACTCCTGTCTACTTTAATACCATTATTTTCTATCCACCTATTGTTTGTAAAGTGTGGTAACTTAAACTGATGCACTCCTATGCAAGGTTTCATACTGACTTGTCTGTCTGTCTATTTCTTATCTCAGCCACATAAAATTGTATCAATAAATTTTATCACTTTACTGATCGTTAAGTATTAGCCACTGTAAATCACAAACTTAAAAATTTCAGTCAGCGTTTTAAGATTTATTAAAGACAATGATAATTATCAATATCAAAACTGTAAATCGTTAGTAAGAAATTCCTGGGGTCAAAAGGCCTTTGAATCGTTGCGACCAACCACCACGTTTAAGTTACTGGATGAAAAACAGGGCAACTTTTGTGTCGACATTAGAAACTGTATGACAGTCAGTCTGGTCGCTTAACATTTCAATTGTAACGTCAACTAAGCGTATTCAAATATATACATGTAACAGCTCAGTGTGAGAAGTTCAGAAATAACAGAAAGGCAAATAATTTTATTTTTCACAGAAAAATATAAATCACTCACTTGTATGTTGTCTATCTGTGAACAAACAACAAGTGATAATGGTGGTTCGGTGTTCTTTAACCTTTGATAATTTCTCGCGCACGCTTCATCACCAGGCTGTTTCAGCCCATATGTCACCAAACGTCTGCGACAAAATATTAAAGCTTAGAAAACATGAAACCACCCTCATTCTCATCATAGGCTACAGGTCTTTTCATTATTTCAAAAACACTAAGTGACTAAATTTCCGAACACAATAGGTAAGACCATTGATATTGCGACAAAAAGCAATGAACGAATGAAAGATTACTAGTTCAAGACATTTTTACGGTTTGAAGGTGTGTAGGGATTGAGTGATTTAAAGGTGGTATTCATCACAGACCGGCATCGGCTGAAAAACCTGGGAACGCAACAACCGTTTCGTCCTATCATGGGACTCCTCAACTGATTTCAGTTTATGATGAATAATACCATGGAATCAACCAGTCCCACAAATCTCCAGACTGAAATACTCATTAGTGAGATGGCACGAGATTAATTTACTAAATTTTTAATGAGAAGTCGTGACCTGTGAGGCAAACAAAGCTGGGCGAGGATAAATACTCCCTGTTAGTAATAATTAATAGTCGCACTACACCGTAAATTGACAAATATAGGGAAATGTGAGCCAGTGGACTCCAAACAAGTAACTGTATGATAAAGTGTTCACCACAACTGTCCTGGATCCGCTCCCTGACGAGTTCGCGCGTGAAAACTGCTGAGTCCGCAATAGGACAAAGCAGCTGTCCAGCGCTCCCAGGTATTCAATAATCTTCAAGCTAATATCAGTCCGTCATGAATACTGCCTTGAAAATAATTAAAGACAGATTGTTGTGCAAACTACTACTTAAAACGAACCTAATATATTTTGACAGCATATATTTTTAAAAAGTTTATTTGAAATTTCATTGTTTTACTTAGATTTTGAACCAAAATAACGTGAATATAACAGGTATTTTATCTACTCAATAAAGTAATTGTATGATCTTCGGTGCCATCAACATCTACAGCACCATCAAGCTCATATTCTCAATTTATATAAAAAATAGCAACACGAAATTCGGGCACATAAAAGCTACTTTGTACACCCGAATCTGAGGTATTTGAAGTGAACCGGTAGCAAGTCTTAAATTTAAGTTTTATGCCCACTGGCATTCTTCAGTAAGCCAAACATACAACCTAAGCTTTACTAAAGGATCACTTCTACTACTAGCTATGTAGCGTCTTACTGAAAGCCAAATGTTCAGGCACCGTTCTTATACAAGGCAATTTCAATGCACAAGGCGGTAGGCTGAAAGGTACTTAGGTGGCACTTCCAACATCTCATAAAAATGAATGGGCGACGGCCGTCAACTACTACAACTGTGCTGAGGCAACCACTTACCTTTGAACAGCATGAGTTTCAGATGTGAAGAGAAAAAGTGTCTAACATGGCACCCACCAACTATAATTCGATAATGAAAACACCAGCGAAGAAGTGACTAGATAGTCATCGGAACACGACAAATCCACTCATCCTACTGAAGCCTAGCACGATCCTCAGTCTGCTGAAAAGAAGCACCTTGAAAGGAGCACCAAATCAACAGAAAGTGGCCGAAAGAGACCAGTGGACCTCATCAGATTCTTCTAAATTAATGGGTGTAGGTGGGTGTGTTCCTGCAGACTCCAAGCGCCATCAGAAGGGGAGAAACGCTATGACATATTGGCCAAAATTTTAAGCAATGACTGTGAGAAGCGATGCTTGAGGAAGGCTTAAGAGATGGAAACGGTCGTAACAACAAGAAACAGTTGGCAGCCACTTAGAGTTAACACGGAAACTGGGGGAAAACGTCAGCGGTTAGTTAGACTACAGTGAAGAAGGATGGATATGCAATTTTTGCAGGGCGAGGGACTGAAAAGATGGATGCAGGACTTCGAAGAATATTTTAACTCCTCTTCAACTATTTATACTTTGTCGGCAAAAAACTGGATTCTGTATGGAACATTTAGATAGAGATTTCAACCCTTGCAGAAATAAAGAAAGCGGTAAGTACACCGAAAGAGTGAAGTGGATAGGGATCAGACGGAATAGCACAGAAGATATTTAAGAACGGTGGTCACAAATCATTGGTCACTTTGAACAAAAAACTGGGGACTGCATCCGATCCAGATATGATCCCTTCTGGATGGTCTCAACCATTGGTCGTCACTGTCTAGGAGATGCCACAGAAATCCTCCTCTCATCACACACCCACGATGTGGCTAAGATTCTACATTTCGTTATTATCAGACGTCATCCTGGGGCTAGAGAATAACTAACATGAAAAGACCACGCGGAATTCACATATAGTCGTGTGCCTGTCAACCAGACTTTCGTCCTAAGTTAGGTCATGGAATACACGTTCCTTACCAAAGTTGAAGATACCCAACCAAAAATAACAAGCACCAATCACCATCAACAGGAGAAACCTAAAGGAACTAGTCTCTTTCACCTACCTATGCAGCATCGTTCCAACTACAGGCAGCAAAGGCACAGATGAAGATGTCATAGCCAGGATTGGAAAGGTAGCAAGACAGGACTTCACTAACCAGAAATCAGTGTGGAGATCTATTGCACTGTTCGCGGCATAAAGAACAAGATAAGGATTTTCAACATCAACGTCAAGTGAGTGCTGCCATATGGCTCCGAAACTTCGCACGTTACCGAAAAAATTTCCAACAAAATACAAACATACATAAACACCTGCCACCTACGCTCACTCGATACTGAAGATCAGATGGATTGCTAGAAAGCATAAGCAATGAGGAACTCTGGTCGGGCAACGAACCAACCAGAAACCTATCGCCCAACAAATATGCAGAAGAAAGTGGAGACGGACTGGACATACAATGACAAGACCTATTGGAGACATCACGTGCAAGGCATTCGAGTGGAACTCAAAGGGCAAACGGGTTGGGCGTCCGAGAGTGGCATGAGATAGTGTGAGGATGAAATGAAAGAGTCTGGGCAGTCGTACAGCCAGGTTGAAAATACAGCAGAGAAGAGACTAAAGTGGCGATTTGCCACTGAATCCCAATGTTCCACTAGGAACTCAAAGGACAAATAATAATTGTGCCAAGGCTTATAAAATACCTGCATTTCTCCACCCCAACATGGCCTCCAACTTCCTCAACCAAAATATCCTATGTGACTGTCTCACACTGAAATCTCCACCAAGCAAGTACATCACTTTCTCAAAACCTCCTTACTCAACCATCCGTCAGTTTGTTACAGCCTATGATGACTCATCAAGTGACTTGGGCACGTAGAATGGTGTCCAGCAACAATATCCACTCTCTGCATTCTCATTCAACATTACCACAGACTTCCTCATAGAGGTAGGTCTCCCTCTCGTCACATAACTTCACATGGAATGATCTCATCAGACAAGAATCCTCAGTAGATACAGAATATCCAGATGACACAGTCATGTCCTGTCAAGACCCTGACAAAACACAAACTCTTCTGGACACAACGAGAGGCAGGCTGAGAATATTTCGGTGCGTTTATCACAGCCTTTATGTAGATTATTGCTCCATAACTGGTCTCTTCACTGGAGTCTTGTTTTACAGTTGGGGTAAAACAGTGGAGCGCATCACCTACTTCACTTACATACAAAGTCGGATCAGCCTTAACGGGCCAGTGACCAACGAAATCTCTGAACGGATATATCAAGCTCTCTCGGTGTTCTCCAAATTAATCTATTCATGACGCCATCGTGACGTCTGATTGCAATTTGAGGGTCGACTGTACTGCGTTGCAATTCCCTGTGGCCTACTATGTGGGTGTAGGACATGGACATGAATGTGGATGACATCAGAACGGTTCGGGTGTTCGACTAACATTGCCTTCATATCATAGGTTGTGCTGTGGCGTCTCCGAGTCAATGGTATAGAGATTTCCAGGCAGAAGGGGAATATATCCGTCGACCATGCTGAGAACCTTCATTGGTCCAAGTAGCTGGAACATGTATTACATATGCCTATTCACTGTCTGACTCGTCTTACAACGTTAACTGAAGTACATTTAGGTTGAAAGGTCACAAGATACCATCAGTAACTGAAATCTATCTCTGTTGGTCTAAGCCATGTAGGGTAATGTACACTTATCGGCTCGTAACCGCATGACACTAGATTCCAGTAGTTGAAGGCTCTAGGTGACAAGGCTCAGAATCGATCTCTGTGGCCCAGACGTAGGCAGACTTTATCTTCATCTTAGTCATGAGAATGAATTTCAGGATCCTCTCGTCCTTTCCTCTGTTTTTACTACTCTTAACTGCTTCCTAGATTTGTTACTTTCGCTCAAGTTTTTTCTCATTTGATGTGTTGATATAAGGAGTAGCAAATTGAGCTGTTACGCAGTAATAGCATATACAGTATACCAATTCATTTATAAGCAACAGTATTAACTGTCCAAACAATGAAACGATGTGAGGTAATGTCGTTATTTTTGTGCAAATTGATAATGTTCAAGTCTCATCACCTAAAGGACGGGAAAAACAACGTATGAATATCCGCAACTGTCGTTAGATTTCAACTCTGATGAGTACTGCTTTATATAGAATTACTTGCTTACTTAATTTCATGACCACATTGGCTAATATCGTGAGCAGTTCAACCTGGGAATTATCACAGAAAATAGATTTCCATGTGCTGAGTGCAATCTAATATTGTGATGTCGACAATCATTTGTGTCAATTTAGAATCAATTTAACATCGATGAATGGTGTTTGGATTTCATCTTACGACAGTAACCAGATGTTATACTATCTGCTTATACAAATACTTTCTACTAAAAGCAGCCCGGTGAAATGTCTGTTCTTAATCATAATTGAAGTTAACACACTGACCGCATGCTTGAACTCATTAGATAATAACAACAACCTTTAGATCGGTAAATGACTTTGCTTATTTATTAATCACCTTTGAGATCCAGCAACAAAGGAATCCAGGATGCTGAATTCGCCTCATTTTAAACTTGTCAAGGGCATTTGTCAAGCTCCCATTGAGCACATTTCCTCATTTAAAAATCAACTCAACGGATTTTCTGTACAACTTCATAAATACCACAGCAGTTACTCCAATGTAATACATTTATTTTCTTTTTTTTCTAATATACATCCGCTAAAAGTATTCGTCAAGCTCCAATTGAATTAAAAAGACTGCTGTCAAGTGACAACTCTGACTCAACTGGTATCCCCGTTTCACAATGCTCTTCCTTTTGGCCTCTTAAAGATAACACATAGTCAAGATAAATGCAAATAACCGATTGAGTACGGTTGCCCTAAACATTCGTTCCTTTTGATATCACTTACCGTCCTCAACAAATGAAGTACGACTACTGTTGAGTGCACAAAAGTTTTTAATTTAGGTGACAACATAGAATTTCCTTCCCCACTGATAACTGTTAACTCACCCAGTGACTAATTCTTCAACTATTGGTTTCAACCAACTTAATCACGTCATATATTCTCATGCTTCTTACTTAGCTTCCGTTTTTATATTAATTTCCTGGCCATAAATTCCTAAAAATTATTGACTGATATTCTTTTATTAGAATATGTGCGCACCAATTATAATTAGAAGCAATTGCACAGCTTCTAAGGATGATATTGCCGGAAAAGCATAAAGATTAATAGATAGAGACATTAGAGTTTTTTGAATAATTTTGTCACAACGAACATGAAGAAAGGCTGTAGAGAATATTATACAACGGGTAGATGAGCTGCGAAACTAAAGTTTGTGCATCGCTCGGGCTTTACGGATAGCAAGGAATTCCGCTGTACATAGGTGTGGGGAAAATCCCTTTAACCGACTTGGTTTCAGTCTATGCATACTGAATCAACTTCTTGTAAATACTGCGTAAACTGACAGAAAAATATACTTGAAAACAGATGTTGATTGACGCATATTTTCCTTTCGATGACGGCAGGATCTTTACTATTCATAAAAAAGACTATGAACTCTGCCCAAAAGTCATTAGCTAGCATGACTTAGGTTGTACAGCCTTTCTGTTAGTTTCACGACAACTTTAAGTGAGTTCGATTTTTTGTTATACTACTATTATAAACGCTGCATAAAGCTCATATGGCAACCTGTCGGATACTGTCAGTACACTTTTCTACTTCCCACTTGTAGTCTAATGTATTTTGTAACTACCTGATATTAAGCTTTAACAGCGGCTATTCTTCCTGATACCTCTTAGCTACTAGTCAACTGCACAGACATGATGAAAGACAACCGGAAGTTCTTTTTGCCGAATGATACGAATTTAATTCAAACCACATGAGTATTTCCAAATGCATAAGTTCTTCGAGATAATTTTAGCGCACAAAGAGGCATAGAAACATAACATTTACAGTTTGCCTACAACTGACAAAGTAACAGAATGAGAATAAAATACATGAGCGACTAATCGTTAGACAAAACAAATGAAACAATACACCTGACATACAACGAACAACAAATTAGAATTTTTCACCATCTCAAATACTTGGCATGAAAATGTACTTTTATATAATCCCAATGTGTTAAGACAATCAAAACGAATTTTTTTCTCAATGGCTTGCTGTACAAACCAAAGTTTTTCCCAGCAAATATACTGTAATACTATTTGAAACCAAACATAACTTCAAAAAGTACAATAAATGAACTTATCTATTGGGTGAGTGAATTTCTGCGGTTGTTCAGGCTGGTCTCGCTAATCACCGCTGTGGTTATATCAAAAATATTCTAATCACAACTAAATTCGATTCAGTTCTCAAATCTTCCCAGACTACTTGCAACACCAGCGGTTTCAAGTACACAGTCCTAACAACACAACTAAACTCTTCGAACTTCGAGAATTTTCCGACACAAAATACGAATACAACATTTTTGTATAGAAAAAATGTTTCCCAGTTTTACGCATGCGCGATATACACAGCATTTAAGTAAGTCGGAACAAAATCATACATACAAGATATATAACAAATTTAATACCCAGTCTGCTTCATTATTTCTTCGTCAAAAAATTCATTCGAAGGAAGAAACATTTTAAAAAAGTGGAAATAAAGCACCACAATGATGAGACACATGAATATACAGTAACCGGAAGTGGAGATTATTGGAAATGTAACAAAAGAAAGGTTAGCACATACAGAAACATATAGAACATACAATTAAGTGTTAAAAGTTTTCAAACTCATAATAACAGTAAGCACTTCTGAATAATTCACTTCGTAAACCGGATAATATGTATGACAAACAGTAATCTGATGACAAGAAGAGAAGATGGTATATTCATTACGAGGCAAAATTATTTCATACCTGTAGCTACCCTAAGCATGGAATAAATATCATCCGTCTATTTTTAATGTTCAATCATCGCAATTGAGGAGCATATGATTTAATGGTACGCTCGATGAATCCCTCGTTTTCTACTAAATAGATCATGTCTGCGACAGTCTGTTCAACAGCAGTACCTACAACACGCGCAGACATCTGAAAAATGAAAAAAATTATTATGTTTTTAAATATCCAGTTGACAATAAATGTCAAAATAAAACATGAAAAACTATTTCAATAACACAGTAAGCCCAAAGTAAAACACAAAAAATACAAGTTTTAAAAACCCAGACATAATTTCGTCTTAGTAACCATTTTGGGGACTTTGTGCAAGCAAACAACTTTGTAAACATTCATTAGCAGATTACAAGGGCGAACAAGAATATGCAGCAAATCCAGCTAACGGAAGATTAAGGAGCTATGTCACTTCCAATAATTTCAACAGTAGGTTCCAAGACAGCCTACTGCATAATAGAAGACAAAACGTAGTCACTCTAATAGTGAAGGTAACGAAAGATATGGGGATAATCCGAAAGTGAAGTGGAACCGTTGGCTGAACAATGTATGACAAAAGTAAGACGTTTCCCATGGATGGTCAGCATTTCATGTTTAAGCTGCATTCCCTTATCCAGAGAACTGAGTTAAAAATGTATGCCCAAAAACAGCACACTTACACACCCGAGTCTTCTCGTATCAGCCAGCGAATGCGTCTTCCAGCTGCATTCAACGCATTCACAATCAAAGCTTAACTTCCAAAACGATAGCGTGTCACCACTCTCTAGTAGATATCTCCTCGGGTCTAAGGTGGTCACGCAACACCACAAATAGTACTATTTTCTTTTTGGGCAACTCGGGCAAAAGTCACCTCCCATGGTGTGGACAGTCAACCACTCTCAAATATGCCATGTCAGCACTTATGTCACCACAAATCATTACGAACCCCCAACATTTTTCCCTTCCAACCATTCTTCACATCTCTGTTAATATTCCCCCATCATCTTTATTTCCCTCTAACTTAGAAACCATTGGTAAGGATGCCAGCTCAGGGAACAGCATCCCTAGTTTCTCTGAAACCAAGCTCAAAACTATACTTCACACTTCTCAATGTACGCATTCTACGTCAAATTGGACAACTAGGTTCACAAACACAAAAACTCTGGCATCTTGTGCCATGGACCCACGCTGTGTTTCTGCGAAATGTACACAGGCTTCTCACAGAATATCATCATTCTGCAAAATGTATCCTAAGAAATCTCGACGATTCCATGCTTAGTTCTCGCCGTCTCACATCAAAACCAAAGGTAAAACGTCTACTGCACGACTGGAAACCATCTGACAGCAGCCTGCACACTGATAGGCTGGTTGCAAGGTGCAAGGGAATATTGTCACACAGGTTGAGACACGTGCTTAAAAAGTGGACACATACTGGTTCCTGCACGACTGTTTGAGCCCAAATAGTTCGATAAAAACAACGGCTGAAGGACTTCAAAGTACAGCCTGAAGATAGGAACACTAAAGTTTCTGTCACCCAAAAACTGACAGGACAGTTAACACAACAAGATATCAACAGTATGACTGTTCATACTATTGAAGACTAGCGTCGTCCTCAACCTGCTCTAAAACACTGCAAAGACAGTTCCTGACACTCAGAAATTTTTTTAGAAAAAACAAACAGATCTCACCACTCTCTTCGAAACTAATAAACCCACGTCAACGCATTCCTACAATCCCAAAATACAATGAACACCCCCAATTAACAGTAACAGGAGACGGCCACCGAGGGTTGATACAATGAAGACGGTGAGGACAATACGCTATGGTAAAAACTTATCCAGATTGACCAACAAAGCTACGGTGACAGAGTTAATCCTTACCAAAACCATAGCACAGAAGTATGCATGTGCAACTCCCTCTCGTCGGAAACGAATCGAAGTATGGACAGGACATATCAAATGGCTTCCAGTTATCCTTCGCTTACCCACTTACTCAGTCACATCTTCAATTCAACACTGAAAAAGGCCATTCAAATCTTGAAGGCTCACAGGTACCAATGTATGTTAGTTGGTTGAAAGTACAGATGTGTTAGTGTGAGGTGTATTTAAGCACGATGGTCAAGGATTATTGGTTACACTACAGGTCCTAAATACACGTCCACTTACCAAGGCTTATAAAATACCTGCATTTCTCCACCCCAACATGGCCTCCAACTTCCTCAACCAAAATATCCTATGTGACTGTCTCACACTGAAATCTCCACCAAGCAAGTACATCACTTTCTCAAAACCTCCTTACTCAACCATCCGTCAGTTTGTTACAGCCTATGATGACTCATCAAGTGACTTGGGCACGTAGAATGGTGTCCAGCAACAATATCCACTCTCTGCATTCTCATTCAACATTACCACAGACTTCCTCATAGAGGTAGGTCTCCCTCTCGTCACATAACTTCACATGGAATGATCTCATCAGACAAGAATCCTCAGTAGATACAGAATATCCAGATGACACAGTCATGTCCTGTCAAGACCCTGACAAAACACAAACTCTTCTGGACACAACGAGAGGCAGGCTGAGAATATTTCGGTGCGTTTATCACAGCCTTTATGTAGATTATTGCTCCATAACTGGTCTCTTCACTGGAGTCTTGTTTTACAGTTGGGGTAAAACAGTGGAGCGCATCACCTACTTCACTTACATACAAAGTCGGATCAGCCTTAACGGGCCAGTGACCAACGAAATCTCTGAACGGATATATCAAGCTCTCTCGGTGTTCTCCAAATTAATCTATTCATGACGCCATCGTGACGTCTGATTGCAATTTGAGGGTCGACTGTACTGCGTTGCAATTCCCTGTGGCCTACTATGTGGGTGTAGGACATGGACATGAATGTGGATGACATCAGAACGGTTCGGGTGTTCGACTAACATTGCCTTCATATCATAGGTCGTATGTAGTGGAGTCACCTGGTCAGTTACGTAGAGTTCAGGTTGAGAGTTTCAAGCAGACGAAGAATATCAACTGAACATGCTGAGAACCTTCAAGTAGCTGGAACACATGCCTGATCACCGTCTCTCTCAACGAACGATGTTTGTTGAAGTAATTTGAGGAAGAAATAGGTTAGTGGTTCCCATTCTGTAACATGGCATCAGAATATGAAGTTCCTTACTGTTGGTCCGAGCCGTGTCGGAAAACGCAAACTTCCAGGCTGAGGGTCAAATGAAAACCAAAATTGATGATTGTAGACCATAGGCCATATGATGCGAAATCGATGTCGATAGCACAGTTACCCATGTATACAGAACCTATATCGTACTCGTCACATAACATTTCGTTTGTTATACCGTCCTTTTTTCTCTTCTAAGGCTATTTTCCTACTTCACTACTTTATCTTACTGTGTTGATGTGTTAATGTGAGTTTCGGCACATTTGAGCGGTAACGTAGTCTTATCGGGTAACTTATTGATGTTAACTGACTACTGAGATTGAGCAGTCTGAAAAGTTTCAAAATAATTAATTCGATACATCAGCAAGATACGACGAATAATTTGACTGGGTTTTCTAGGTAATTATAAACCTGTCGGCAAGAGTATCTATATGAAAGGAAATATACGGTTGTAGAATTTAGCTGAGGTGGTGGTTCTAAGACAACAAATGCAACCGAGATATACACATTTCCCCATAATCTCAACTTTGTTATTTTAAGCTTTTACAGTTAACTTCTATACTTTTCAAAAGTGCGCAAACTTGATACAAAGGATTGCTTCGTGGTCAAAATTGTATTCCTGAAAGCTACAACAATCCAGTAATTTAAAATAGGCTACGAATTGCGAGTTTTGACTTCCTGAAGTGTGACAGTACCTCTCAAAAGTTCAGTGAAAATGACACAGTTATACCCAAAGGTTTAATGAATATTCATACTTCACATAAATAAATACGATTGCCGGAAACTTCTGCCCGAATACGTATTTTTTTATAAAAACTTAGCTCATTCGAGATACTTGATTAACTGAGGTAAATTTAATGAAGTTATCAAACTTTTCAGTAGAACAGATAGAACAAAACTGCTTTTAACGGAAATTTTAACAGAAGATAAAGATGATCCAAAGAAGAAGGATCTTCAGCTCAAATTGAAACATTCTGAATATAATACCATAGCGATGCTATTGGTAGTTTTCTTTAGAGGCGATAACAGATTCCCCAATTCCTGCTAACTGCGCTCATTATAGAGTACTTAAACCCCTTTATTCTATATTTCATAGTTTATTATTGATTGTATATAGTGTGGTCAATAACACTTCCATGAACATAATAAGTTGAGATAACCTCAAAACACCAAAAGAATATTCGATTTTTAATACTAATGCACAACTTTTGCACTGAAAAGTATGCGCCAGATGACGTAAACATTAAACTTACCGGTTGCCAATCTGTTAAGTCGCTTGGAGGATATTTGAAATATGGACCAAAATTGACAGAAACTGTAGCAGACTTATATATGGATACTGCTGGATAGTAAGTACCTGCGTAGATATTCTGGAAAGCTGTTCCCATGCATTCACCATTACGATAAAATATGATCTACGTCAAAACAAGGAATAAATTACGATAAGCTATACGATGGGCACAATACGTTTTTATATCACTCCTGAAAATGTGTTATTTAATTAGACCATTAAACAACCCAGCTCAGAGAACACAATACAACCAAGACCATCCACCTAAGCTACAAATATTCTCCATTATTTCAATAAGACCATATATTTTTCTGTTGCTATAAGAATGATTTTTCCGCATCAATTTAAAACGAAAAACTGTTGGCGCCTTGAATTCGGACAACGTAAACAAATGGCAAACATTGTTACAAGAATATGCAGATATAGTTTATATCAGATGGAGCCCTGTGTGAATGTCGTTCGGTGACATGTGAAGGATGATAGATACATCTCATTTGTAAGAAAAAAGTACAAGAAATACCTTCCAAACTGAAGAGAATTGTGTACATAAAAAATCTGTCCATTGTGGAAGGAATCAACTTATTATAAATAAATAATTCCAACAAATGGTGTGAGCATGGACAGTAATTTGCTCAAAATATTACCAAAATTAAATAACATCATTGTGTGTACACATTTGTGATGGAGTGAAAGCGGTATTCAAGTCCTACCAAATAGACCTATCAAAAAAACAATGAGGTTATCTTAAAATTTAAATTAGTTATCTTCCTTCCGATAGAAACTAGGCCGGTTAGATCATGGCAAAAAATACACGGATTCTTTTCCTGAGTGATGGTTCTCACTGGCACGAGCACTTGTTTGGTTGATCACTAATGTGTTGTTACCTCTTTTCAGATCATGTGGCGTCAGGAATCCTTATAAAATATGGTGAGCAAGCAAAGACTCTGATGTTGTTACGAGCAAGTAGGCATGTCAGATGAGCAAGAGAAAACATTGCCAGACGTCGACTTCAGCCGGCTAAGTACCGCCTCTACCAAACCCTAAAATTAAGTCGGGTGACATCCCGGTACAACCATCCAATACCACAAAAGTTGGAAGTCAGAGACGGTTTTGAACTGTGGGCGGAAAAATTAGTGTGTATATTAAAATCACAAAAGTCCCGTTCCCAAATGCATTTATTATCAGTTGCGTTGGTAAATTAGCGAGCTAATGAACCAGATGCAACATTGCATCGACCCTAACTCAAACCACTGATTGAAACATCCAAACGACTGAATAAGTTTAGCGAAGATGCAAACGAGAAAGTTGATGATTTCACCACTCACTTCCGTAAAATAGCCCGACAGATGGTGATCAAAAAACAATATGAAGAGATTAAAAAAGTAGTTTATAACAGACTTCTGGAGAGAATTAAATTTCAGATATGACACGAATTAAACCTGCACCCCGCTTCATCGCTAGGAGGAAAAGACGAGGCCTACCTCCTAAAAATGTGGAACAAACGTCAATGGCTGTATGCTCTGTAGGTGTAAGATAACAAAGAAATCCTAAATGATATGGACGGCAAAGCGTTAGAGGAAATAATCGAAGAGGACGGAAAAATTGTCACTATTTCCAGAGCTCTAGGAAAGAGGTTAAAACGCGCGATTACGATAACGGAAAGCCAAATTCTAACTGTTTTTATACAATAATTTGTACCCTTTCTGCTAACCCAACACCTCTAATGGAAGGGCACGTAGGGAAAAGAAGAGTGACGATGCTTGTAGACTCTACGGTTGCAAGCTGTGTCATACACTTCAGTGTAAAGAACTAGATGCATGACATGTTTATTGGCATTAAGACTGTAAAGAGACAAGTTCAGTTAGATCTCGATCTGCAGATGGGACAAATCATCAGCAGGTTAAAAAATAGACTCTGAAGTGGATTTAAGTTATCAACGTTAAATTACAACAGTGCAGTGAAATTAAACTTATTTTGAGGTATACAGTGCAAAAGAACTATTCAACTAATTCTAATTTTTCAAATTAGAATTTGTATATTTTTATTGTCCTTCTGTAGAATGAGAAATAATCTGAATTTTTTGGAAATACAAATACTTGACAAGAAACAAATGTAATCAAATAAACTGCGTATAAAATTTTTGACATCGACATGAACACGGTTTTATTTTTGAAGGCTGTGTGTATTTGTGAAATCTGATGAGGAAAGCAAAAGTATAACCGAAGTCTCCCTCTATGATTACGATAAAAGCAATAAATACTAGTGTAAGAAACCTAGCTGAACAGACGACAAACGTAGAAAATATTAAATGATAATTACAAATAAAAGCAGATAAATTTCATGGAAAGAAACCGTTAAACCTAGTTATTTATTCGCAATAATCAGAAACGCAGACATTTTCCTTACCTTTGACGAAAACCTTAACAGCTTTTATTATGAAAGGCGCTCTTAACGTTTCAAAGAAAGTATCAAATTTTTAGCGACAAGTGGGTAGAAATCAGTTAGCGATCCTAAAATATAATTAGTTCGCTTTACAACATATATAATCTCATAAAACAGATTATTAAAGTATCAAAACGTGACGTGGGAACTATGGTGACAAGTCTTGGCTATGGGATAAAATAAATGGGTTTCAGGTTGAACCCTTTTTCCCCTAATGGCTGAGAAAACCAGTAGTGATGAAAGATGAATTCTGCTATGAAGTGAAGCGTCGCCGCTTAGATTCCTCAAAAGGCCTCAGATCTCCTGAAACCCTCCACAACTAATCACCTCATTCTGAACATTCGTGGAAACCTGGTGGTCTTACGTGTGAGCTTTGCATTGGCTAACGGTACTAAACTAAAAGGAAATATCTTCTTTCGATAGTGTAGAAAACATCAAGGCCACTGCAAACGTATGTGTTGCAACGTTTGCACACGTTCTGATTTCATGACAAAACTTATCACTTCTTTTCTGATTTGGAGGAATTAAGCGATCCCATAAGGCGAAGTCGAAAGGTTATTATTCAAGAGTCTACACATGTATCAGCTACTCCAGGTACATTAATTTCAATAACTCACTCATTCTAAAAGAGTAGAAAGTAGAGAATTCTGATTTAGATATTGTCAACATGTTTCACATAGCTATTAACCTTATAAGGGGATTCAGTTCACCTTAAACTACTTACTGTTCTTTAAAGTAAAGGGCTGATCATATTTGATATGTCACTGAAACATCACAGAACACAAATATGGTTGCTCCAATCATACTATACTCGAAGAGTACGCTAAAATTATTCACAGGATATGTAAAACGAAATTCGAAAACAACGATTACATATAAACTGTGTCCAAAAATATATGCTTTGTCGTACAAGAATTATACTTAGTAAAATGACATAAGTGGATCATTAGGTTAGGAGCTTGACTTCCAGGCAAAAATTTCTCGGTTAAAGCCGCTGCCCCACCAATTTAGGCTTGAGAAACTAGGCAGTATCATAAGCCCTCACATACGATATGTATGGCTTACAGCCTGGTAAAAAAAAGCAGTACTAAATTATGTTACATTGCATTTATAAACTTTTAATTCAGTAGATAGGGTCATAAGTGGGAAGAAACTACATGTCGACCGGATGGGTTGAGCATGTACCGCATGTACCGAGTCACCACCTGCCTCAACGTGTCATGCTGGGAAAGTTGGATTAGGCTAAAAGAAGACTCAGCGTGACCAGACCAAAATGTGGCATCAATCGACGAAGTCTCTTACTGTTGGTGGTCTAAATCGTGTGGGAAGATGTAGACTTTCTGGTTGAGGTCCACAAGACGAAAAAAAATCAATGGTTGAGGACTCTGGGTGATATGGTTGAAAATCGGTCACAAAGCCAAAGATGTATTCACTCTTTGTCATCCTCTAAAGCTTGAACATTCACAATAACCTTTATCTTCAGATTGCATATTCTCACATTATTTTATCTTCTTTGATATCACTTTTCCTATCCCTCTGTCCTTTTTTTACTACTGTGAAGTGTGGCAACTTAAACCGATGCATGTGTATGCGAGGTTCTACGTTGATTTCGTTAGTCAGTAAGTCAGTCAGGGTATCTAAAAATACGGTTAGACCACTCAACTCAGTCAAGCACTAGATCGCATTACTTGAAGGGAATCAAATAAACAGGTCAGAAAATGAAAACCAGAGTGACTGAAAAAACTTTGACGTAAATAACTCTGTCCATAGCCTAACTGGTTTATTCCTTGAAAATCAAAAAAGGAATGATGAAGAAAAAGTAAACATGAAAAACCACAGTGATATAGACCAGTAACATAGAAACATAGGTTACTGATCATAACTTTCTTTAACAACCTAAGATAAGCCGTTAATTAATACCACACAGCTCTCCGTATTTTCGCTAAACAACTCTCAAGCACAGAGCTATTTCTCACAAAATATCATTCCGAATCCTATACGAATATCGTGTAGCTTAGATACATACCTTGCCTGTGAATACAAGAAGCCAATACAGATATGTGCATAATTTACAATAATTTACCATACTTAATAAGTATTCATGCACACTAAATTTGGTAGTTAACAATCCAGGTTGATTCATTGGAAGAAGTTAACTAACAGGATAAATTATCGAATTTGGTGTACGGGATTTTATTTCAAACAGGAGTAAAGTCAAGATTCTCCAAATAACAAAATACGAATTCGCTCACGTAAAAATAACTATCTGTTCTATAGTATTCCTAAGTCAATAAAATCTCAATTGAAAATAAATGGTCGTCTTACATTAGTGAACTGGTAGATAAATTCAGTTAAGGATATTTCAACTACCCAGAAACGTAAACATATGCACAGGAGCTCAAGTAGTATATCATGAAGCATATATTATCAGGACCACCAGTAAAACTACCTGCTTACCCGAATCGCAGTAGGTGGCCTCACTTTGTGACCCTGCTGGAAGAAATATTTAGGATTTACTTTAACTAAATTACATCATGTTCACAATTTGTCCGTTGCGAATACCCCGAAACTCAAGTTGAACGTTACTTCCTGACGAGTGTGTGGTTTCCCCTAGAAATGAACAGCCCCATAAATGTGCAGCAGTAAGGAAGAAACTAAAGTACGCTTAAAAGAGACTTAGCAAATTTTTACAATATGAATACGGACAATAAATTATGTCCGAAATGTTATCCAGTAAATGATACTGTCTTACTGTGTGACATTTCTAATAGACAGACTAAATTGGGAGTTTACAAAAATGTTTTCCGAAATCCAGATTAGTTGATTACGCAAACGTTAACAGTAATATTTCCGCTTATCGTACTTATACTGTTAAAATTGTAAAAACTTCTCACCTACCTTACTACCAGGTAGTGGATGAAGTGACTTTTCAGCTTTAGTTTGATCATCTTTTTCTTCGAAGTAGAATGAATTCCGAAACCTGATCAGGGGCTAAAAACACGGAAATAAGATACTGAACAAATTTTGTTGAAACTACGAGTAACTGAGATGACTACGTAAATCAAACAACACTTTCTTAAGAATCTACGATTACGTACACAAAAAATAGCGTATCACATCCATTAAAACCAAGTGATTTTATTCCTTATCATGCGTTTATTTGCAATATTTATATGAAACAAAGATTGCCAAGTAAAAATACTATGACATTTATGGACATGTGAAGGTGATTTTTAAAAAATAGGTTTCCAAGAAAATACAGATGTCATTTTGATTTTACTAAAATGAATACGTAGACAAGTAGACCATTCTGTTGGAAAACAAAGGATTGAATCTAATTCAGAATGTCTGTGATGACAATTTCAACTGCAAAAATTTCATGCCTTTTAAATAAACAATGCTGAACAAAATAAAACCTCACAATTGAACCAGTAGTCAGTTAGTCATATGAATGATACATCAGTTGAATTAAGACAAATAAATCAACTTAGGAACAAACACAGAAGAATCTTTCCAAGTTGCTCCGAATTACAGTAGGCAAAAAAGATATGGTGAGAAAAAATTTCATTAGAGTAGGTGAAAGCGTATAGGAAAAAATCAGAAAAACTAAGGGTTCGCAAAAGCCCTTAAAACATGAAGACGACAAATAATGTATACATTTGTGCTACTGTGGCAGATTTCAAACCATATTAAAAAGATTTTCCGGCCATCGAATTCTGTCACTTCTAAGACCCCAGCTAAACAGTTCCCTCCTCTTCTTCCTGAAGTTCGTACTTATGATGTTATACATAAAGACAATGAATGGTGAACGATTAAACCAGTCAGTTCAGCCGACTCAACAACACCACAGGCTTACAAATCCCTGCACGTACCACACCAAAACAAAACATAAACTTTCTGTTTTGGAGCAACGCTTTAGTCTGGTCACTCACAGCTTTATTCTGGATACGTCAAGTAACAACACAGAACAAGGTAAACTGTGATTGAAGGCGTGAAACACAAGTGGGGACATTAGTCAGTGAAGGTTCACAATCTTATCGTCTAACTCGTCCTCGTTACCTAGTACCTTATGCCCAATCCCAACACTGCTCATACAGTAACCCACCACATACGAGCACTTCGACAAAGAAACCATGGTCAAACCCCTGTAACGTTTTCATATCTCCTACTCTCAATGACTATATCTTATAGCTATACAATACGACAGAGCAGACCACAGTGTTCCCGTCCTCTGATATGTAGTCGGCTATCACACTGGTGCAATAAATGGTGTCAAGTAAGAAGCACCGAACAAACCTGTTCTACTTCAACTAACATTTTGTCACAAACAAACCCATTTGGGCTGATGCATCTTCCCAAATAAAAGACATGGTCAATGCATCCGACCTGAGTCCTGAAACATCATTTGACACTCGACAGGTGAAAAACGCATACTAAATGTACTCAGATTTTCGCTCAAACTGTTCAGATAATCTTGCCTTTTAGCACTATCTTCTCTCAAAACGACTGTATGGTCTTTGTACTCCAAGCCAACTAGGTGTTCTCCAGAGAGTAAATCAATCCCTGAGAAGTCGCAGGTACTTACGGTCATCCTTCAACACGTCTACAACAAAGTTCGACAGGTATACTGACAGTCAGCATCCCTAGTGGATACGACTAGTTAATGACAACTCTTCATAATACTTTACATGGCTGTGTGAGTTCGAGTAGAGAACTCTGATTAGTAACACATGCTTGCTCGATACTCCCTTCACAGTTAGACACTGACACAATTCCTCGCGGTCGAAAGAGTCGAACCCTGCCTCCATGTCGAGGAATCCAGCCAGTATGTCTGTACCCCGAAACCTTTCGAAGAGCGGAGATATCATTTAGATATGAGACTTGCTTGACTGTCTCGAGCTCCCGTTAGCCTTTGGATAACGATGAACTATAAGATACTATGTACGATGATGATCAAACTGATTCGATCGTGGTTGTCACACGAAGTATTCCTACCCTTCTTATAAACTAGTTATGGAACAAAACTGTGTTCAGATATTTTTATCAAATTATTCCACTTATTGTCTTTATATCATCAATATTTTTACACCTAAACTATCCTGTCCTTCGGTTATCATTTTCAAACTTATCTTTATACGTATCTTTGTTTCACTCAGCTGCTGGTGACTAAAGTTATAATCTATTTGCACCATCTTAAGTTACCCAACAGCTGCTTCCACAAGGCTGTCCCACAATGCGATATTCATTATAACTGCTCTGGGAACGCATGCACCATTTAAATTGACTGCATCTAGCGTCCAGATATCCATGCAGATCAGGCAACAGATAGCTTTGCTAGGACTCTGGAATACTCTACTATTGATTCATGTTGTATTTCAAAAGCCCGCATACAAGATTCGAAAAAAAGTGCAATGGATCTTGCAGACAAACAAGTGTAGTTGTATTGCGCTCACTCAAATACCCTGTAACATCAGAGGCCAGCCTTGGTGGAGTTGGTGTTACAATAAGTACTAGCACAAGAACCTCACTAATTGACCGAATCTACATAAAAGGCTGTTTGTGCTATTAGACAAGAGAGATTAGAATGAGGAGTAACTGACTAGAGGAGAAATGTATCCTTTTTATCGCTATTCCAAGATTATATTTAACCTGGATGCAGTCTAGGCTGAGATGTCACCCGTCTAAACTTAGATGAGCGTTTTTAAAGTGGTCGAATAGGATTAATAAGTGGTAGGTTAGATAACATGTTGGTTAGGATTGTATATCACAATGATCAAAATGCCTACGACTAGTAAGACACGTTTGGGGGCTCCTATCATACCAGAAAGATTTGTTGGATAGTACCACAAGGAATTCAATTACCATTATAGTGAGAATAGTCAGACTATGATGGAATAGAAATACCAAGGTTGCTTTCAACGAGGAACTGATGAGACAGATAACACAACAAGATATCAACAGTATGACTGTTCATACTATTGAAGACTAGCGTCGTCCTCAACCTGCTCTAAAACACTGCAAAGACAGTTCCTGACACTCAGAAATTTTTTAGAAAAAACAAACAGATCTCACCACTCTCTTCGAAACTAATAAACCCACGTCAACGCATTCCTACAATCCCAAAATACAATGAACACCCCCAATTAACAGTAACAGGAGACGGCCACCGAGGGTTGATACAATGAAGACGGTGAGGACAATACGCTATGGTAAAAACTTATCCAGATTGACCAACAAAGCTACGGTGACAGAGTTAATCCTTACCAAAACCATAGCACAGAAGTATGCATGTGCAACTCCCTCTCGTCGGAAACGAATCGAAGTATGGACAGGACATATCAAATGGCTTCCAGTTATCCTTCGCTTACCCACTTACTCAGTCACATCTTCAATTCAACACTGAAAAAGGCCATTCAAATCTTGAAGGCTCACAGGTACCAATGTATGTTAGTTGGTTGAAAGTACAGATGTGTTAGTGTGAGGTGTATTTAAGCACGATGGTCAAGGATTATTGGTTATATTACTTCAATTGTTGATTGGTATACGAGAGTCAGCTATGACCGATTTGATTGATTGATTGATTACAACCACTGATTGTCACCTTCTACAAGATGGAAAAGAAATCCTCTTCTAATAATCATACACGAATCAATCTGATAAACATCGTATCTAGGATTACGCCTTCTATCGTCATAAGATACTCGAGTGAAGCGCAGGAACAGCAAACAGAAGAAAGTAAGACAGATTTATTAACTGGGTTTGGATTCATCGAACACATTTTCAACTTCTGTCAAGTTCTGAGACACAATCACACTAAACAACACCTGACAGGTTCTGTATCTCTTGACCTGAATGCACCTTTCCCCTTCGTATATCGAGATAGTACAATTGATAATATTCTCAAGAAGCTTCTAAGTAAATCACTTAGTGATAGTGTAAACCTGAAGCAAGGTGGAAGACTTTACTATGTCATACGAACGGCATCGCTTTACTATACGACAACATACAGGTTACTTAAACCAAAATCAATTGGTTTGCGACTGTGTCAGTATGGTATTTATTGAAGGACAAACTGCTTCTAAGAGACTGGCATTCACCTTTAGTGGTTAGTCATAGGAGGCGATCGAAAAGTTTAGTGTGCTTTGGTAGAGCGATTGTTTGCCCTGGTTTGACAAGAGATTCCCAACAGAATAGTAAACCAGAGCAGAAGATTACAATTTCGGTAACGTTTAGCATCGTCATGACGTGAGTCCTGTCGAAAAAGGTCAGGTATGCACGTGCATCTGCTTGATCAGTGTTGCTCCATACCTGTGAAACCTGACCTAAACAACCTGAGGATATCCATGAATCTGAATATTTGTTAACCAGTTTCACCACCTTAGGACTGTTGTCACTCATATAATGTAACATTCAAGTAGCGTGTAGATGCAGGTGTTTTAGCGTGATGGAGGCTTCAGTGGCTTCAACACGGATTAAGAACGTCGTTTCAATGGTTTCCATATCGTTCAGTATTTACCGACCATCGGGCCAGGTGAAGGAAGAAAAAAGATCCTCAGTGTATAATGTGGTGTCATGGTATGAAAGAGATTTGGATTAGATCGGCATCTCTCACTGTTTTAAAACTCCCAGGTTGGCGCCCAAGACATCATAAAATCTAGCAGCTTAAGGTGACAGTAGGTATGGCTTGGAAGCGAAATTAGTGGTGATTATTTTGCAGTTTACTTATGTCCCTAATTCTTGAACGGTAAAATAAATGAAAAGAAAGCTTTCATAAATGCATCTTGTTTAAACAACTCTGTTCACTCTTATTTTCCTTATTTTACCTCTGCTTTTTACCTCATGTTGTAGTTATATTATATCGTAAAGAGCATTTCTTAACACACTGTTTAGCATGAAATAAAGATATTACAACGAATTCACTTACGCGATCTTTGTAAGTTTCAGGAAGATAACTCAAGGTAGGAGAGTTTTTAGATTTGCTTGAATTTGTTGCACCAAGATTAAGGCCCAAGTTGGATTGAATGAAATCAATTATGGACGAAAGTTTATTTCCTTGAGGTGTCTTAAACTGCACAGCAGAATCTGAACTGTGATTTTCCCGAGATGTGAAAGGACCGGCGGTTGAAGGTAAATGGATCAAGCATCCAATGACATCATCTTTCTTATATCCTTCATCTGCGTAGTGTTTTCCGCGAGATTCATGAAATGACGTACCAAGACGTGAACGCCAAGAATAACTAAACTTGTCATAACCACACGGTGCTTGTAGGTTACCTAATGTAATAAAGTAATACCTGTAATTTTATCAGCTGACAGAGATAAAACAATATAATGTACCAGTCATGCAGATATCATGTAAATAACACAAGTGGGTTGTAAAACACTTATCAGTTAACACGGTGACCATAGCGTGTTACCGCCTAATGAGTGAAAATAAAGCATACTTTCTCCAAACAGAAGCCACCATTTACACTGCATGAGCGTCTCGAATGTAAATTTTAAGTTCCGTAACAGTAATTTTCTTTGCTGACTTAATTAAACTCGGGTTAAAGAGGGTAATAAATGGATCACATGAGTGTTTCGGTGCTGTCTGAAGTTTGATATCTTGTCGTGAATGTCTCAACACTAGGCTTGGTAACATCAGCACTAATTTCATCAAGAAGTGATGCATATTCAGTTCTTCCACAAACGTTTAGACGTTTTTATTGACCTTTGGTATTGTCTAATTGTAAGAGAGAGATTTTTACCATACCTTGACCTCAAATTTATTTGTCACACTGGTAGATAATCGTTGTATTAGTGTGTGTTATTTGTCGCTGTCACCCTGAGCATCATTATTGATTTGGTTGGTTAATTCGCCCTTAGTTTATGGATGGCTGTTGTTCTTTTTTTCCTAAGTAGATTACAGATCGGGTCTATTCCCAAATGGCTGTTGACTGACTTTTCGTTTGAATACCATGCTTCAAGAGATTCTCTTGCAGCTTTTGAACCTGCATTTTGGAGGATTTTTATATACTCCCAGTCAAATTTCTGATTGTGATTGTCAGTATGCAATGAAACCAAGAAGGCCGCGTCATGTTGCTTTACTGTTAGTCGTTCATGAATTCTTTAAGCAGTGCGACGACCGGACTGGCCAAAATAGTGTTGTGGACAATCTTTGCAGTTGCTTTTGTAGATTATATTCGTCCTGTCTTCTTCTGGCAACGTATCTTTTGGTTTGCACAACATGCTGTGTAGTGATTTCGTTGGTTTGCGGGCTACTCCGATTCTAAACGGACGAAGCAATCGATTGACTGTTTCTGAGATATTTTGATGTACGATAACATAACGCGCCTATTGATTTGATCATATGCCATGATTTACTTGTGCATAAACAAAAAAGTTACCACACAGCTGTCACGTTCTACATATATTCCATCAAGACAGGTATCTCATAGTTAGGCATAATAGAAATTTCACAACTCACCGTACATTTGAGACCAACCAATCCGAGTTGCAGAACCTTCTGGTTGTTCTGTGATGGTTGCTTCGAAATACCAAGTACCTGAATGAACGCTATGAGTGGCACGAACCATACAATAACCTTTCTCACCAGTAACCGACAACTGTGATTCATGTACTTTTAAATGGTTCGCTGTGATAAGAACAAACAGTAAATAATGAAACAAGAGCCACTTAAAATGAACAAACTTAGAATGAAAAAGAACGTAATAACACACAACGAAACATCTGAATAAAACTACGTAGTGTACACTTGAATATGCGTACGATTTACTTGGACGTAAATATAAGTGGTAACCAAGATCTCCATATTACTAAAATAATGTGAGGTTAACCAAGCCTAAATATGTTAATGATGGATAGTGGCTGTAATCCACTAGATTTCACTGCTAGCCGCTACCTATCACTAACATATCATTCAAACACAGGTAATATAGAGGCATCCGCGCAACAGCCCAATACAAACAACAACATTAAGCCTAAATATGGTTCAAGAAATGCTCAAGCTACTGTATATCACTTCTTCATCTTATGTGAATGAATAGTGCACAATGACCCAAATAAGGTCGTGGTGAAATAAAAGCTTTTTTTCTTTTAGATGTAAAAAAGATTATGATAGTATGTCTGCATACGGATTAATACTGACAAGATAACGAAATCAAGCGATATCCTCTGCTTACAAAACCAAAATCGTTACTTGATAACACTCAAGCCACGAATGTGCCTAAAAATTAAATTCAAACTCAATGATCGAATCCAAATTCATTCAGTAACGTACTGCACATCTCTGCAGTAGGAAATGAGTCAAACCTATTGCGTGAAGGCTAATGATCCTAACTGGCTGCCCAAACTTCAGTAGACCCAGCGATGTTTAAACTGGAACCCACTAGTAGAAAGTCAACTTCCTAAGCAACTGAATGATAAGACTAAGTGGCAACTGACTTAGGCAATTACATTTGACCAGCTAAAACTACTATTCGTGAAACATCGCAAATAACCATGGCTTTGCAGACTGATATTGCTGATACAACTTAGTAATTGGAGAAATGAAAACCAGGATCACAGCAGACTCCGGATTACTGACCTAGTGCTCTACAGACTGAACTGTGAGAGCCAATTACTGACCAGGTACTAACCTTACTTAGATCAAGGACAGTTCTGCCCAATGTATCATAAACACTAGTCTGACAAACTACATATTATATATATACGTCTGTTGAACAATTCACACAGGAACTCAGCTTAAAAACAGTTGATGATCAATAGATGCACTTTTATTGTACACGCGAACAGTAGACTTACCACGATCACTCAAAGACAGAACCACCTGTGAGCATAAAAAGACACGATAAAAAAGACCAGGTATAGGCTTTCCAGCTGTAAATTCACATTCGTCCCACTGCCGCCGACCAGAAGCATGCTTGTCAGCTTCTACTAAAATGTAACTGAAAATGTGCAAACTAAGAAGTTCGTAAATGAGTAATAAGACTACTGTGAGTGAACAGTATTTTTCTCTTTAAGCCATTTACAACCATTAAATTCTGAAAACAATGCTACGAAATCTACACTAAGTCTGAGACTACATATACATAAAACCAATTTAAACTTTTACATATCCACTTCCCTTTTTAGTATGTGGAGTCAAAACACAAGTTCGTAGAGTACTGTGAACTCGTTTATTTTGATTGGTTACATACTAACCCGTACATCTGCGGAGCTACGGCCAGTTGATTTACGTAGATGACTTTGAACCAATGGGTTATCGGTTCGAGCCCCGATCCACCTAAGGAGGTTTGGGCAACCAGGTAGACCTCACACAAAAAATATGGCTTCTTGCCTACTGCACGAATGTGCGCAAGGTTGCTGAGTACATTCCACTTTTTTCAAGCCCATACATCAAATCAAGCAAACGTTTGAAGTCGGTGGTTTAGTCTGAATGGCAAAATAAACCCTTTTGATAAAAAGACCGAAATGATTACCTACAGTAAAAACTAGTGTCAAGTTTTAGGTTTGAATGCCAATATACCTGTCGAGGTTTGAGCAGTCAGGTAGTACCATAAATACTAAGAGCGTAGGTGTGATTCACTATCTAGTAAGCTAACATATACCGTCGCTTAGCTACATTCCACTGTTTAGATATCTCAGGTTGTACGCTTGTACACAGAGTCCGATAAAGTCGTTGCCACTATGCCTTCATTAGGGTGCAAATACTGGATAAGCTTAACATTTGGTTTTATCTAGCCAAATATTAATATTTTTTTGCCTGGATGTCCCTTTTGTTTCCTCCTAACATACTTTATAAATGTCACGACTGTGTTCAGTACTCTGTCGCACTAAGTTTATCGCTTACTATATTAACTCGTTGTTCATGATAGAACAGATACAGTGTAGGTTTAGTATCACATAGGTCTCTTGAATACTTAATTAGTTGGATAAAAAGAATAAAATCTGTCATTTTTCCCATGTAAGCATACAATCGGTGAAATCAAATACCTGGAATAAAGCAATGATGATTTTTATTTGAAGAGCGATATGCTACGTTATCAAGCATTTATATGAATCTCTTACTGAGAAAAGCACATGCTAATGGTTAGCCACCATCATTATCCTGCTTTGATGAAATAGGTTTCAAAAACAACGGCATATATACACAACTACTAAAAGAACTGACTTTACTGCATGCTCAAAAAGGAAAACACTACACTTGTGTAGTTTCCGTATTAATTTGTGCAACTCAAAATGCTTCCACAGACTATGTTCATAATGTGGAAGAAACTTACCGATACCCTTCTTTATTAAGTGCATGATCTATAGGAAATCCCAAAGCATTTAACTTTGCACGTCCCTCCTCTGAACCAGCTCCACTTATTGCTGTTGTTCCACCCAGAACAGATGCCGACGTAGCTCGACGAGTTGAACGTACTAAGCCGCTGGATAACCCATTATTTACATCTCCAGTAGATGAGGTCATATTTCTCGTACCAGGGAATCCCGAAACATCAGTACTGGACACGTTCCCTAGAACAATGTTTTCTGACGACGTACCAGGAGCAATAGCTGTCACAGATGAACCATTGTAGAAACTACCCATCCCACCAGATAATCCACTACCTGGAGATTTGCGCTTTCGCCAAACGGGTACGTCAAAATTATCAGTTTCATTGCTAAAAGGTAGTTGACTGTTAGTTGATGAAGAGCTTGATAACTGATCTACAGAATCAGGAACGAAACCTGACAGAGAGGATTGGTTTTGTGATACATTGGTGGAAATGTTAGCGGAAGGGACACCCAGTTTAGTAATATTTGTCCGAAGTTGACTTGTAAGAGCACGAAAACGATCGTAACTTGGACCAATCTTGGTGAGATCCTAGAAAAATAAATGAAAATGAAAAAAGGAATTCAGAAAGCTAACACGTACAAAACACAAATTGTAATAAGCGTAATGGAGAATATTTTTCACGCGATAATCAACAAAAGTGACGATGAAAAGCGAACTTGTGACTTAAGTAATTTAAACCACCTCCAATGAAGCATAAAGAAATATGATTGTGGTAACAATCGAAAATAGTTTGAAACATCCTACATGATCCGCGCATGCATTCACCTACCCCGTGCACATCCATGCAGTGAGCAATGAGCCACACCTAATGTGTGAGGGCTAATAATACTACCTGGCTGCCCAAACCTCGGTAGGTGGAGCGGGGCTCGAACCCGTGACCCAATGGTTGGTAATCATTTCCCTAAACTACTGAGCCACAACTCCACATAATCTGCAAACGTAAGTATGAAGATATATAGCTTGCTACTGTTCCATACTTAAACTGCTATGATATTGATTAAGTCTGGGAGAATTTACTTCTCACTATTTGAACTAGAATGATCAGTAAATAAGTTTCTTATGTAGAGTACTTCCTCAAAATCATTGAGAATAGAATTCTAGTAATATAGTTAGAGAGAGAATCGATAACCTTCATATGATAAGAGTAGCTAGTACCTTCAACTTTCATGATTAAAGCAGCTACGGTTGCCGTCAGTTTCGCAGTGTATACATTTACTTGTAATAATCTCCACGACTTCTGTATTGTATATGCAGACAGGGAAAATGTTTGGTTTCTTGAGATACTAAAACAAAATAGATGAAGACGGAAAACATTTGAATAGCCTTGCCGAAACGTCAATATTATTCCAATGCTTTGATTATGACGTCGTTCTGTTTACGTGAAGACCAAGCGTTATTTAACCTTAACTAAAAAATACTAACCTCAATACCTAATCTGAAACGTAACAGTCCACGATTACACGCAAGAAGATACTTAATCTCTATGGTCACTTTTGCTTGAAAATGAGTGAAAAAACCGCACCGAGTAATTTTCACACATATATATTATGGAATGTAAGTATTGTAGTGTATTACAAAAAATGTAAACATAACTTTAAAAAACAGTGTCGTTTTAATTTCTTTCACGATGATCACGAAACCAGCTATAACATAATTACTGCATTTAAAAACAATACTGACTGAGTCAAGATTCTTCTTCACATATATTTAATAAAAAATGCCTAGCTCTGTTTTAATTTTACAGTGATAACAAAAATAGCATACTGGCCAAACCTACAAATAAGAGACTATTCTGAGCCCAATTCCATTGTGTGTGGTGGGACAGCGTTTATTGAGTTGGCAAAATAATTGGCGGAACATGATAATGTTACTGAACTTGCAGAAACCCTCAAACATTTTGAGTCCACTGTAAAAAAAGTCTTGAATATTGTGGCCGACCCTCAGAGAAAGGTTAGAAAGGACAAACAGACTTCAGAGGCTTCATCCAAACTCCAGGATGTGCATGAACGCGTTACTATAGGCGGAAAAAATTCACATGTAAACTGACGGAGAGTCAACGCACAGATCATGAGTGATGATGGCTGACAAAGCTTAGAGATGAAGAAGATAGAGGCCATAGACTACAGATTATTTAAATACATCAAGGAACCAGGGGATGCGAAATGTCGATGGTTGGTGAGACTATAAAACAGCAAACTGGGTAAGAGATGAGGAATTTCCAAAACAAATGGAACGATAGGCAGAACATATTAAGGAATAGTTTACAATGACTCAAGCTATTCTCTTGTTACTGGTATTTAATCCAAGCCTGAATATAGTAGTGGTAAACGGTCAGAAGCTATTTGAGAAGTTCTGAACGCCTCAAATAGTACGGAACGGGAAAGTGACAAATCAAACTAAAAACGGCACAGAAGTGCATCGGTTCAAGCTGTCACAGTTCACAGTAGCATCCAAAAATGAGTGGACAGAAAATCAGATTGAAATGCACTGGTTGAAAATCAGCTGCCTAAACCAATGAGCTACAGCTCAGCGAGCGAATACAAGTGGCATCAGAGTGCATAAATATGGTAGAAAAAAAGGGGGAAATGAAGGAGGGTGAAAATGGTCAGACTTTAAAAGATGTCGAACACTGAATTCATTAGTCCCATTGTAACCGATTTTTATCCACACAAAACCAGTCTACAACTATTGATTCCTATTACCTCAAGGACGTCAGTCAGGCAGTCTACACCTCTCTAAACAGAACCAAAAAACATGCAAAAACATAGGAAAATTTTGACACGTCTTAGACTGATTACCCTTTGCCTTCTTCCAACTCAATTTTACTTCAATTAACACTGAATATCAAGGCACGCGGTGGCAACGCATACGAAACTATTCAAAAGCCTGTAACGTTTTCATATCTCCTACTCTCAATGACTATATCTTATAGCTATACAATACGACAGAGCAGACCACAGTGTTCCCGTCCTCTGATATGTAGTCGGCTATCACACTGGTGCAATAAATGGTGTCAAGTAAGAAGCACCGAACAAACCTGTTCTACTTCAACTAACATTTTGTCACAAACAAACCCATTTGGGCTGATGCATCTTCCCAAATAAAAGACATGGTCAATGCATCCGACCTGAGTCCTGAAACATCATTTGACACTCGACAGGTGAAAAACGCATACTAAATGTACTCAGATTTTCGCTCAAACTGTTCAGATAATCTTGCCTTTTAGCACTATCTTCTCTCAAAACGACTGTATGGTCTTGTACTCCAAGCCAACTAGGTGTTCTCCAGAGAGTAAATCAATCCCTGAGAAGTCGCAGGTACTTACGGTCATCCTTCAACACGTCTACAACAAAGTTCGACAGGTATACTGACAGTCAGCATCCCTAGTGGATACGACTAGTTAATGACAACTCTTCATAATACTTTACATGGCTGTGTGAGTTCGAGTAGAGAACTCTGATTAGTAACACATGCTTGCTCGATACTCCCTTCACAGTTAGACACTGACACAATTCCTCGCGGTCGAAAGAGTTGAAAAATACCTTCACATTAAGAAATATGGCAAATGTCAGGAATCCGTAAGTATGTGTTCCGAAATCTGTCGAAGAATAGAGATTAGATCGACGCACTCGTGTCCATGCATATAGCTTGCTCTTAAGCCCCAGTTAATTATGGATGTTGGCCAAATATATTCTCCTATGGTTGTCACAAGAATATTTTTCTTTTTTCATTAACTGAGGTGATTAGCGATCTAAAGCAGTCTTACGGGAACGTACACTAGCTCATGATTACAGTCCAAGAGGTATTCCAGAAAAGGTTACAACTCCACTCATCTCTAATGATGGCTTGTAGCAACATAATCTGTCCGTATCCTATATCATGTTGATGCCAGTGGATAACAAGTGAGATAATGTCTCTGCCCTATTTTTGAATTTAATGTTGTCCACAAATAAGTGGTTGTCAGGACAAAATTTTAGACGATTACAGCTATCGGTTCGTCGACGTGCGATACCACAGATATAAACAAGAATAACTTTCCGATTGCCTCAGATTCACTCCTTAAGCGTTGGAGTTTCTGCTACCATGATCATATTTAAACGCTTCATTTTCTGTAGCAAAACAAGCAGCTTTCGGTATGACTCGTTCTTTGCATCACACGAATTGCTGTCAATGGATGCATACGCGGAAACTAAGAACGACTATCAACGGGTGCCACAGTCTTCTTCAACTCCTGAAGATCCATTAGGTTGGACAGTGCATAGACAACTGTCGACTGGTGTTCAGTTGCGAAGCGAATGTCCGGACACTCTTGAAAGGAATTTCACCAATTCAGCCAGGTGACGTCAAGTAAATTACCACACCTGGGTCCTGCTCATATGTCCCACAAACACAGAATACACTCAAGGTTCGAGATTCCAGTACTGGCAAGCGACGCCAGTTGTCCGATTTAGAATGGTGCTTGAGTTTCAATGAGGAATTGTCAGAGTGAAGCTACAAGATGAGTCTTGGTTTTTCTCGTTAAGATAGCTAACAATGGTTGCAGAGGAAGGAGTTGAGGAGAATGTAGGGGATACGTCAGGTAAAGACAAGAAGATTAGGTTGTGGTTTATTAGGTTTTGTAAGCCATTAAATGCATATGGGTGAGTGGTACTTCCCAACTGCTCATACCATGGAAGTTGTTTCCGCAAGATACCTAAAAGAGAAAAAATATTATCTTCGCACGACCTCAAGGTACATTCGTTTGAGACCAGTCGCATAAGGCCTATATGGAAGTTTGATTATGTTGAAATCAACTAGAAAATTCACACCGCTAGCACTGGAAGAAGTTAGAGGAGGAGGTAGTACGTTATTTTTGTGACCGACGTACGCTGGCCCTCCTTTTTACACAGAAAAGACACAGGTAGCATGAACCACTGGTTGTTCTTAGGGAAACACGTGAGTGCTGACATACCCAGTCCAGTTCAAATCATGACTGCACCCTCGAACCCCATTCACAGCGTAGCTATTCAAAACATAAAGGCAACTACATTTAGTCTCATCACTATCCCCCAAACATTCATACTATGGAAGGACTTCAAGCAGCAAATGTCCTCACTATTATAGTTCCTTCGACCATTGCGATATACAAGACTGAACAAAACGTCAAAGCACCCATATGTCGCATCTGAGAGGAAGAAAAGCAGTCGACGGTGATCAACCAATACCCAAGGTAATTAAGAACAACAAACAGTGCTCTTTTTGATAAGAATGACCAAGGTATTGGCCGACGTATGAGAATCAAGTATCACCCTTTCACACAGTTCTCAACAACTGATTGTTTCAGTCATGAAAGGAAGAGAAATATGCTTCCGTTACAACCACAAACAAACCAACCTGACCACCATATTGTCAAAAACTCGAGGTCTTACAACTATCCGACCTTCAGGCACGGAAACTTCGAGAAGGCCAGACACGTTACAGACCCGGCCTTGAGTATATCGACCATACCTTTACTCTTTACTAGATCTTGGAGCACAAGCACACTTGCCGGGATGACACTAGCTGCACTTCTCGATTTGCAGGTAGTGTTCAACTCCGTTGACTGAGATATCTTGTGGCAGTCTCACAAAATTCGTGTCTTGCCAGTACTTCACCATATCGAAGGCTTCATAATTGAACATTTGTGGTCGTATTAAAGCCTTCAGTAAGCTGTCATGTGAGATGTCTACGTTGACTGGTGTTCGATAAGGATGCCCATTTTTATTTAACTGTCATAGATGTGCATATTGAGGTATCTCTTGACAATTGACTTTAGGGCGACTGGTTTGCTTGTAATGAATTTCTTAGTCGACTTGGAGTACGCAGACAGTGCAGTGCGGTGAGGTGAAGACGCTGACAAGACAGAGCATCTGAACATGCTGAGTGAAAATTTGAGAATGTTTTTCACCTCCAAAATGCAAATTGATGATGAGGTTGATAGATCGCGCATGCCAACCCACTGTCTATCACTGATTTGATACATTAGCTTAAGTGTAGCTGAGGTTCACTAATCGGGGCACTCGACTTTCAACTGAAGGGTAATGAGATTGAATCCTGCTCTGGGCAGTCAGACATCACTTAACAACAAAAGAGTGCAGTTCAGTCTATCACAAAAACACGTACGTAGACTAAGGCTGCAGAAAAAGTTAGGGCTATTTTGTTTTAAAAATGAAACACAACTCAACTACAGGATCCAAGCTTGTGAAGTGGACGGAAAACCGTAATGTGTGATTACACTTAAACGTAGCATACGTTTATTAGTTTCTTGGTTGTTAAACTGAGTCATGTAGGAACAAGTAGGCTTTCAGGTTGGGATCCATTAAGAAATTCAAACCGATGGATAATAGTGTAACACAAATCCGACGAGTGTTAACGTTTCCTTAGTAATTTAAGACTCAATTATTTAGGTTTTCTGATATACACTGCACAAAATTAAAATAACGACGAATACTAAAAGCACTTACCGTATTTGAAAGACACACATAAAGATCACCTGGCGTTTCCACAGTTTTGAACACATCACTACTAGTCTGAGATCATATATAAACACAAATAACAAACCAAGGTTTTGTGAATGTTTGGATACCATGAATTATTAGACTTCCTTGGCTGCGTTGTGAGTTCTTCCCAATATTCTTCCAAGAATGGAATCAGTTCCTTCGTTTCCATGAAGTATAAACGCCCGCCATGCTTTAACATTAAATTGGCTAAAGCTGTCTGACACATAACAGTGAAATTTGCCTGTTTCCTAGAAAAAACTTCCTCACCCATCGGGTTGCATCGCTTACACATGAAATGATAAGCAGTAAGGAAAGGTAAGGCTTTTCTATTGGAAAATAAAGTCAAATCAAGTGCACAGACGAACCCTATATTGAAAGCTATACACTCTAGGTGGAACCACTTGTAACAAACACTGCATTGAAAATCTGGCCTGCTGTAGTCACGTGACATCATACTAAGAAACCTGTTAAGCGGAGAAACGGTGAACTAACCAATAGCACTGAGGTCCAGGAGGAGTTGGTATATTTACAACTATAGAGAGATGTGCGTCTTGATCACATTCCATCTTCTCAATAGTACTAACGGCTTCGAACTTGTTTTTTAAAGAATCTGATATACTCTCACTAGTCTGAAAATAAATATTAAATGCAAAGAAAGCATGGGAGCAACCATTTTGACAGGATAAACAGAAGTAACGCACTTCTTCAAATGTTGCGTGCGATATAGTGTTTTGAGCTGATAGTATTCATCATAATTCTTGTTGCATTGAAGATTCTGTATTTATCGCCGAAAAAAGAACCAAAAAACACTTATTTAAGTGCAGTTGTGTTGTAACACTAAACTGCTAGCACGAAATCAGAAAAATAGGCGAATCCGACATTTCATATTTCATGGTAATATAGCTTATATGATATCTTATTCACAAACCACCACTAGTCAGTTTCTTTCTTTAGACGAACTTCATAATATATCATTATCCGTTCACACCTTTTTGCCAGTCTTTAGGATTCTTACGAGGGAAAACATAAGCTTGTCGAAAGTGTAAGGATGGAAATAAAATGAAGATGGAAGAGATACTGACGATGTGGAAGTGTAGTTTAGTAGATATATCAGCAATAATAGGAATGGTATAATGAATTCACCCAAAATGAAGAAAAAGAAGAAGATAAAATGATGGTTTCACTCCAATCTTATTCCGAAGACTAGCCGGTGATCTTAACGTGTAAATGTTATCAGTGTGACGCAGTTGCATCCTTTCGCAATGTATGGTGCAGAGACACCAAAATAAAACTTGAGAAGTTGAGTTATCGTATCCACTTTGATGAACAATTTCCTTCTTTTATGACGGTTACCTCAAAGGCCGTCCAGTAGCAATATCTCGTCTGTGTAGCTTGGGGTTCGTCAGGCCCATTACACCGCCATAACTTTCATGTCTCATCCTGCTGTAAGTGAAAGTATAAGAGCCTGAGCTTTGCAGCTGGCCGGTATAAGTCTTCTACGAAAGTCAGACGTTTTAAATTACCACCTTCCAGAGATCGTCGTTCCTCTCTGAGTGTCTCGCTGCGAAAATGCCGTTGGTTCTGTCTTGCGGTTCAAGCTTACAGCCAGCAGAAGACTCAGATAGTCAATAATATGGCATGGAAAAATCAGGACCGAAAGGAACTTGAAAGACTCTCAGCTATACCGTCATACAAAACAGACAACTAACACTTCAAAACGTTTCGCGTGAGCTCATTGTCAATGTTTCTTTTCTGTGGTGTTCCAAGGTCGGTCTACGGTGACCAAAATGTTTTCATCGCTTGCCGTGATCATCACATGATCAGCCTGGTGGAAGGTCAGTGAAAAACAAAACGACCTGTGGAGGGCCTGGGATTGCCCTGCGTCGTATTCCGAAGGAAGATGCCCTCCAAAATTAATTCACCGTGTTGACTTATATGCAAACATCTGTGGAAGAAATGGCCTCATAAGGATGACAACGCTATGCAACAGCTCTAATCTGTCCAAAGTTCCACGGGCAGACACCATTCCAGATGGTCTTCGGATGTAGGATGAATTCAAAAGGCCATACTTGGACTGAGACCGAAAGTGGCTAGAATATTCCAATTGTAAAAGGCTGTCGGAAGGCTGAAGGCATCCGATAGGAGTTTCATGGAACCGAAGATGCTTTCTGATAATACCGCCAACCAGTCTACCTGTCTCGTTGGAACAAACAGGTGAAACGCTGAAGTTTACCAATACATTTGGATCTACTAATTTTCCACCAACTTTTCCGTGGCAAAACGATGTGTTCAGAATATCCCACGGGTTGCAGTGAACCAAACCCGGCACAGATATACAAATAATAATCGAACAAATAGTCTCTTCTCAAATTATCGATCTAACATGAGAGAGGCCGGTTTACAGTCATCATCAAATTGATAATGGTAAAAAAATCTACAGGACCTGAGCTCTCCGGAATGGTACAAGAAGGAGGACATTTAACTCTATCATAATATCAAGTGTCTGAAAGTCATCAAAAGAGCAGAAAAATATCACTTTACAGTACATACACATAGTCCTGGGTTTAGATCATCCCTACTCACAGTTCTTTTTGGCAATAAATCCGCGCAACATTCGGTGTCTGCGTTATCAGTGGTTGGAAGGATTGACCCATCTGCAAAATCCAATGTTTCGTCGGATAAACGTCTATTTTAACAGCAGTTCTTACGTCCACAGCCCTATCGATGAAGAATATCTTACATCGAGATTTCAGGAATAGTGAGTATCCATGCAGTCATTTAATCCAGGCGAATATCTAAGTTTAAGCATTTCTCACTCTTCAAGTGTTATCTTTCCCAGCAATTCAGATTCATAATACTGAAAATATTTGTTGTGATGCAAGTAATTGAAGACTGGAAGAATGGTCGTTCAGCGGTGGTGAATATTACAAATATGTAAAACTTCATAGATCTCACACTAAAGTATGCAGCATTGTGAAGGAGATACATTGGCTGTCAACTGACTTCTACTAGGTGGGTTTATACAAGACAAAGTACTGGGGAAATCCCTTGTATAGCAATATATTATGGATGTGTTGCCGTTACGTATAGTGATCTCTAGGATTTGATTTATTATCCAGATTTCCGCCGCATTTTCGACGGACCAGAAGTCGGAGACTAGTTATTGTGCTTGAGGTTTCGTATGTAGTAGCATTTATGGTACTGGTAAGTAGGTGAGTTGTTAGCGAAGCTGTTCAAACACAGAAAATTGGAGGCAGGTCGGTTGAAAAATTCTTACATCAGTTTCCAATATAGCGTACGAAGTAGGATTTTCAGTGAGTTGATACCTCTTCATCAAATTAATGCCCAAGATTTTCTCATCAGGCTGATGATGAAAAGAGAAGAGAGAAGAATGCACAAAGAGAAACTTGACAGTGGGATACCACGTAGAACAAACTAGGAGCAGGAAAGTTCTTGTCTTCGTAGGGTCATTCGAACCTTATTTTAGCTTCAATTTATACGTGCAAGGATAACTCTTCCTTTTTTTCCTACATAAGGTTCATGCGAGTTATTAGGTAGGCAGTTTTTGTCATCAAGCTTAAAGGGCACACTGACTATGCATTTGCACTGCACAATCCAACCAGATGGACTGGTAATCAAACACCCTTTATGAGTCCGTTGGGGTAGAAGGTACTTCAAATTTATGATAGCCTTACTCTATACGTTCAGAGGTCCTAGCCTGTTTTCATTAGCCCAGGACATATATATAGTGCCTAGGCGAGTGATAAACTCATTATCTGTTGGGAGCTTATTGAGTGGAGAACTAAAGACAGATAATGAATGTGCAGTACGTATTTCCTCAGGAAGTAGATTCCAGATGTGAGAGAACTTATTAAGGAAGAAGTTTCTTCTCAGTTTGGTCTTACAACACTGGTTTTCAGCTGATAGATTGTGATTACGCAAATAGCGAGTAGATGTCACAACTATTCTAATTTAAGGGCCATATGAGTGCATTTGCTTAAGAAGTAATTTATAGTAAAATATAAGACTCATTCTAAGTCACCTCTTCCGCAGAGGTTCCAGTCCTAGCATGTTGCACCTGGAGATGTGGTCTAGGCTGCAGTCGGCTGTTAGTGCTTTTGGTGTAAAGTGGCGTTGTACTCCTTCAATTTTCCTTTGTCGCTTGTAAGAATGCTACTTAGGATAAATGGGTGGTATTCCAAAATTGGACGGATGCCCACTCTATGGGGTAGGACTATAAAAGTTGCTGACGATGCATCCAAAGAGTCTATAAGACTTAAATGTGGTACAAATCATTTGTTCGGAGAATGTTGTCTCCGGAATATCTAAGACCATGATCTCACACTGGAGAACGTCCAGGTTGCTTTTGTCCACATGCTTCTAGAGACACCTGTAGTTTATCGCTGCCTATGCTAGGCCAGTCACATTCGTCAATGTTGAACTTGAGGTGAGACTCGTCACACCACTTAGCAACTTCACCTAACTCTTGTTTAGCAGCAGATAACGCATTGCTTAGTTCATGGGTATGACATGAGTATACAACCCTAAGGTCATCAGCGTGTAGGAATGTTACCCTTGCAGTGAGGCACTTGCACACACTATTATTATAAGTTATGTACGACAAAAGCCAAAGGACACTACACTGTTTTACTCCACTAGTTATGAGCCTAGGTTTAGACTGCGTAGAATTTATTTTGACGATTTGGTTACAATCACTAAGGAGTGGTTTTGGCCAATAAAGTGAAGGGCCACGAATGTCAGTCGATTGTAGCTTATCAAATAGCATACTGTGTGGCACCCTGTCAAATGCCTTTGATATGTCGAAAAATAGAACGATGGCCATTTTACGTGCCCCGTGGCTACTAGTGATAAGGTTGAAGAAATCCAAATACCAAGTAGCGCAAGACCCGTTTTTCATGAGGCCGTGCTGGGGAGTTGTGATGAGGTTTTCTCAAAGTAGGTAGTCAGACATGCTTCTCTTAATCACCTCCACAATTCGAGAGACGACAAGGGTTATGCTGACAGGTCGGTGGTTACTACCATTCTCTTTGTCACCGGACTTGAAGAGAGGAATTATAGGGCTAATTTTACACTCGCTGGGATACGCCCGATTTTCGCTGATAGTGTGAATATCTTAAGCAAGAACCGCTGGACATCGTCACTATTTCTGGTGACTACTGAGTTTAGGCCATCTATATCCTCACCTGTCAATAGTCTCAGGCGTTTGATGGTCTCTGTGATCCTTTTGACAATGAACTCCACTCAAGTACATGAACTAGTGGTAGTTGGAGTAAAATTAGTGGGGTTAAAAGTATTATGCTTGAAATTTGCGAATGATTCGCTAAACAGTTCACTTATCTTGAGGGATTGTTATGTGCCATTCCATTATGTAGTAAATAGGCTTCATCCCTTGATGTCTGCAGACGTTTACTCAAAGGATATGTCAGCTTGTGAATTCTAAAGTAACTTTTGAGAGCGGCGATCGCTTCGCTTACTGCGTGTTTGGCACGCGGTGTCTTAATAGATCCGTAAGTTTCATAAATTGAGTGCAGTGACTTGAACTCTTTCGATGAGTGGTATTGTGATGATAATTTCTTGAGTTTTGCTGAGGAATATTTCGGGGGTATATGGGTCTGGCTCCTTACAAATTGTGGTTGTTTTCACAGGGGCATTCGTATCTAGACATAGGTCTATATTTCTGTAGAAAAGTGAGTGTCTGTTAATGAGGCTGTGGTAAATTAGTCATCCCATGGAGAGCCACTGAGGAGGTCGATGGATCGTCCCATTCTATATTCTTGTAAATTCGATGATGGGTGTAATTTGAAGATTGTTTA